AATTAACTAGCGAAAGACAGAGCTGAAGAGTTGAAATAAAAGACCAATTTCATATAGAGCCTTTGCTATGCTTCAAATGATTGATGACTTTGAACATGGCAGACTGGCCGATTGATTGACAGAGCAACTGACTGATTGCCACTAGACTGATGGACTGATCGATTGACTGATTAGCTTCATAGTGATTGAGCGGCTGAATGATTGATTAACTGTTTGAGCAACAGATTGATATACTAACTGGTAGACTGATTGATGGACTGACTACTTTACTGATTGACAGATCAAGTAACTGACTGATTGACTGATCCCTGACTGATCAAATAACTGGCTGATTGACTGACTGACGCTAACTGGCTGATTGAGTGCTTGAAATGCGAACTTATCAACTCACTGATCGACTGACTCTGCTGCACTGTATATACAAGAATGAGAATTTTCCTCTTTTAAATCTATTTGGAGCCCACTGTGCGTTATACGCTTTATGAAGTGGACCGCATAGATGACTCGGCATACACAAACATAAAGACATGTACACACACACCCACACACATACAAAGAGTGTTACAGAAAAGTTTGAGTATCAATCAACGACAGTCAATCAATCAATCAATCAAATGCACCAAACAATGATGCCAAACAACGAAGTTGATCGCGATGTGGAAATGGGAAGTGGAAGAGAAGTTTCCAATGAAATTTTCCACTACTTTCCACTTTGCCAAATGCCACTCAAAATGCTGTTGCCTGTTATTGTTGTTGTTAGGATTCGCGTTATTGTTGTTGTTGCCGCTGTTGTTTTTACCTGTGACACCTTTAATTTGATAGAGGGTTTTCCTTGTAGTTGGGGCTGCTTTCTAATTTAGTCGACGCTGCGTCTTTTCTAGAAAACATTTTTGATATTTATAACTTTTCTAATTGCCATTCCATGGGAGCGAGAAAGAGATGGCGAGTGAGTTGGAGTTACACACATGATATGAGGCATTAAGGCCATTGGCCTGACAACGTTTGCGGTTTCATTGCCTTGACAGCAGCTTCTGCTGCAGCAGCTGCTGCTGCGGCTGCTATTTCTGCTTCTTACTCTTCTTCTTCCTTGACTTCTTCTTCTTCTTCTTCTTCGGTTCCGGAAAAATGAAACGATTTTTCCAAGCGAAAGTTGACGTTGCATTCGAAATTATTTACAACTAGCTGCTGCCAGGGTAACCAGTCAAGAAGAAGCGAAACCCAGCAACAACAGCAATAACAAAGCAAATTTCAAGCTGGGAAACAGTTGCAATACACGACCCGCTCAACCCCCAAATGCCACGCCCAAAAACCCTGTAACGCCCCCTTTATTAGAATCTCAACCCCCCCCCCCCCTCTCTCTCTCTCGCGCTCGATTCCAGTGAAATGCACTTCAATGCTTAAATGACAATCAAGTTGGAATTTTTTTCTACTTTTGAGGTTCCACGAAAAATCGTTTGAGATGAGACAACAACACAATTAGAAAGGCTACCTGATACCCTGTACAACAATTTAACATATATCTAGACAGATATATGTATACATTTACAGATATATGCATATATCTATATAGATATATATTTCTTATGTTTCTTTACAGAACTAGAACTAGAGTTGTTGACTAAAATATACCCTATAAAATATGCATGTATGCTTTTGTAGTATATGTACTAAAACTTTAACGGACTCTTCTTCTCTTCTTCTTTATCTAAATTCATAGCTGTAACTACAAGTCACTGAATAAGCGTTAAATATCTTTAGACCTTATGCAAAACACAGTAATTTAATTTTAGATCATGCCTTTAGTCTTTAGTCTTTAGTCTTTAGTCTTTAGTCTTTAGTCTTTAGTCTTTAGTCTTTAGTCTTTAGTCTTTAGTCTTTAGTCTTTAGTCTTTAGTCTTTAGTCTTTAGTCTTTAGTCTTTAGTCTTTAGTCTTTAGTCTTTAGTCTTTAGTCTTTAGTCTTTAGTCTTTAGTCTTTAGTCTTTAGTCTTTAGTCTTTAGTCTTTAGTCTTTAGTCTTTAGTCTTTAGTCTTTAGTCTTTAGTCTTTAGTCTTTAGTCTTTAGATACGAAGCTGTTTCATATAGGCTCACTTCAGTTGCGTATACCAAGCATTAGCTCACTTCTACAGGGTATACCCAAACTTGGGCTACAACATCATAAAAGCGAGCAACTTTTTAGTGCAACGACAAATGCAAAATGCATAACAACAACAGCGATGGGACAAGCGAAAAAAGTAGCTGAAAAAATGTGTAAGCGAAGAAGATGAAGAAAAAGAGGTAGTAGCAAAAGTAAAAGTAGAAGAAGAAGAAGCAGATGCCAAAGCAAAAGAAAGAGCCAACGCAAGAGCAAGAGCAAGAGCAAGAGCATAACAACCAAAGCAAATTGGCGCGGACTTGAAAAAGTGCTTAACTAGATGTACAACATGAATAGTATACAAAAATACACAAATATATAGTATATATATATATAAAGATATTCATGTATGTAATGCATATACATATATGTTTATAAACCCTAAAATTTTGTACAAGCTACGAGCTCAATTTAGAGAGCTCAAAGTTCAGTGCAAATTGAAATGAGCGGGTTGGAATACAGGGTATAAGCCAGAGGGTATGTTGCTTAACACCTTCATATGGCCAAGGAACTATACATATTCCTGTTCCTTTAGCTTACTCCTTTAGTAACTCAAATTGAAGTCATCCTCGTATACCAGATATCATCTATATAAATTTAATTAAATTGCTATAGCACATAGCTGCCATAGAGACTATTAGTTCAAGCTTCAGTAGTAGTATGAATAAATTATGAAATTGAACTGCTCCTACTACTACAATTAGATCACATTTTAGTACTTATATGAACAACTATGTAATCCTTTCTGCTATCTAAACTAAACTTTGTCATTGCAAGTCTGTACTCGCTGCCTATATGCAAACCAAATTTGAGCCATATAGAAGCATTGCTTCATATAGCTGCCATAGCAAGTTTAGTTCAACTTTTTAGTACTTGTATGAACAACTTTTGTGTAAGTGTAAGTTTTACGCCCAAATAAGCTTTTCAGAGTTATCAACTCGAACTGGGCAGTAAAAAGTTATACTAAGCTTTTAACATAAGAACTGAATCTTATTAAAGCCCAAACATTGTATCATCAATCGTATTTTTAGATCTAGTATGAAATCATTTTTCGTTGATTTAGAACATACTTTCCATTTACAGCTCGCTCTTACAGATCTATACATTAAATACGTGTACTACACGTCTATATGATAAAGCTGTCATAGGCGCTGAGTAAGACTTTTAGCTCTTATATGAAAAATTGATGAGTTCTGTACTGAAAATCTTCCATAAATTGAATATAGACTTTTGCCAGGGTATTCAATTGTTGTGACATGATTTCTGTGCGTCAAGTCAAGTCAGGCAGCTAAATAAGTATACCCAATAGACCAAGTAGGGATACGGACTGGCTGGGCGAGTGTCCAGCTACCCGATTTTAATCGTGACACCTGTCCAGCTGGTCGACTGGTCGCTGGGCCAGTGACACGCGACGCCGGGCGGCATAATTAAAAGTTAAGTACCTGAGCGGCAGATATACGCCGTGCAAAAGAGAAGACAGGTGAAAGAGCGAGAGAGAGTTGTGCCCAAGCGATTCTCCCTAGACGCAGCTCAGCTCACAGACAAAGCCAAAGGCAGGTTGCAGTGTGTTGCCTGTACTAAAACTGGCAACAGCTCGTCGACGTTGAAATAACATGCTGCAGTTTTTAATGGGCACCTGCAATAAGGTGAGGACGGTCAACGGCGCCAGGCGCCCGCCTGAAGGGAGCGCTACACTAACCCAGCTAAAATGCTTGCCTGTTAAATTTTTCACAAAAGAACTTAACGCAAATACGCTTTAATGAGTTGTCATTGGCGCACATTGCCCTGGCGCAAGTACCCTATAGACGTGGGGTATGCTCAATGGCCGAAAGAGCAGTAAAAAGCTGGAAGCTAAGGCCGAGAGCTAGAAGTGCCTTGAAGGAGGAAGGAGAAGAGGAGAACTTGAGATTCAAATCCGAAAAGTATATTGAACTATGCCAAGTTTGAGTAAGATTTATTGATTAATAACAGCGTATTTGACGCTCATCAAAACCAAGTTAAGCCACATTGAAGTGGAGTATAATTTAGTCTTAAGTCAGAGACAATTTTTTAAGTGCGTCAAGGGTCGTCGCAGATTGTCGATTGCCTTGTCTGCGAATATACCTGGCTATGTAAACGCATATATATACTTATGTCTATGTGTACTTGGGGGTAGCAGGTTGACAGCGTTGTCAAAGTCCTTGAATGAGTTTGTTGAGGTCGTAACTGCATTAAATGCTAAACTACTTAGGAGTGTCGGATGGAAAGGGGCGCCGAAGGCGGAGGCGGCAATAGATGTAGAGTGGAGTATAGTAAGTGGGAATTTCTGCAACTTGTTGCAGCTTATTAAGTCCCGCCCAGCCACGCCCCATATTTAACTAGTTGAGTGGTGCGAAAAGTCGCACTCAATGCAATGCCGTTTCATCTATAATCTGCAAATAATGAAGAGCTCTATAAGTAAGACTTAAGGGATTCCACGCGAATTATAATGGAGAGAAAGGAAGATGGAAGATGGAAAATGGAAGATGGAAGATGGAAAGATGGAAGATGGAAGATGGAAGATGGAAAGATGGAAGATGGAAGATGGGAGATGGAAGGATGGAAGGATGGAAGACACTAGACACTAGACCCCGACTCTGACAATGTGTAAACAGAAAATATTTGAAAGCAATTTAATCTGAATAACAAATGCTCGCTTGCTATATGAACTCGATTTTCGTATTTCTCTGATTTCGATTGCAATGAAGTTCAATCAATCAGATTCTCTTTTCAGCTTAAAACAATAAGAAACAAAAACATTTTGAAACACTTTACGTTCATGGGATTTGGGAGATTTCTGGCCGCCGCTGACTGAGTAGCCCTTTGCTGAGCTGTGCTAAAACTGAGCACTCTGTGAATGTTGGCATTCCTATATATATATATAAATTTGTGTATATTTTTTAGTGTTGTCTTTAAATAGTTGGGACAACAAATCGTTTAGTGTGGCCACGGACAATTGAATCCATCCTTTTGGGAAGGACATGGCCTTCGTGGCTAGCAATGATCAACATGGCAATGAGATAATGCGTGTAGTGCTCTCGACAGAGCCGGGCAAGCGAACTGTGGCCTCCTGTCAGAATCTGAGAATCAACTGCACCTCCACTGGGGCTCAGTTGGATACACGGTAAGCTAGCTATCTGAACCTTATAGTAGTGGTGCTTCAACCGATGTCGTACTGCAGTGCCGGACGTTACGATCATCGTCATCGTTTTCATTTTTTTGCGGACACGGCGCTCAGTCAACGGCAGACGGATCTTAATTTGCAGCAGAAGGAACACGGCGACCGAAACAAGGAGCAGACATTGGGGGAGCAACATTGGCTAGAGCAGAAGAAGCAGCAGCAGCAGGAGAGGGAAAAGCAAGAACGAAAACAAGAGGAAGGGGGGCGGCTCTCGGCACAATCAAAGCAAAGGCAGCAGCTGCAGCCGGAGCCACTAGAGCAGCGAGGGGATAAAGCATTGCAGCTGGAGAGAAAGGCGACAACGGAGCAGCTGCCTTCGAAGATATCGTGCGTAGAGAGAAACAGATGTAAGACGGAACAGCAAGAGAAGTCACATCGTGAGACGCTCCATCGATATAGTGCATACTTGGAGTGGTCGTACGAGGAGATTTCACAGTCGGAAAAACAGTCACAGCTCCAACCGATCTCACAGCCGATGAAACTGCAGCCAGAAAGATCGAAATCGAACCGGAAAACTCAAATAATAAATTCGCAGACGGAGAAATTACAGCCAGAGAGCTTGCATCTAGAAGGCTTCAAGCCGTTGATGCGACCGAAGCCGGAGCGGTTACAGTCCGAGAGATTTCCTCAGGAAGACTTACAGCCCAAGCTGGAGAAGGTTCAGAAGGCTCGGTTGGAGAAAAAATTGCAGCCGAAGGATATGCAGGCGAAGGAGTTGCAGGCGAAGATATCGCAATTGCTCCAGAAGTCACAGACAGAGCTGAGCTTTCAGCAAGCCAAAGAATTGCAGCAAAAGAAGAAATCCCAGAAGGAGCTACCACAGCCCAACATAGGCTTGCAGTTGGAAAAGACCTCGCAGTTGGACTTGTCGCAGTCCATGAAGACTTTGCAGCCGGGTCACTCATCGTCTCAACATTCATCCAATCAGAGCGATGGCGATCTAGCCGTTGCGGAGCTGGCACAGTGGAATAGCGCTGAGGTCATTGCGCATAGCACCATGCTCGCTCCGCAGGATAATATCTATCAGCGAGGCAGCAGCGAGTGTGCAACGTCTGGTTCGCCCTTCCACACCTGGCTGGCAGCTAAAAAGTAAGCTTGATCTAGAATGAATAGTTCAGTTCGCTGCATTGTTACTCCTATCTATTGATATTTCCTTCCGTCTACACAGGGAGAAGCATCAGCAGCTGGAAACGGAACGCCGTCAGACCACTGAGCTGGAAGAGCAGCGTGCTAAGGAGCGCTCGCGTCTCGCTCAGCTGAAGTATGAACGTTGGTTCAAGGCCAAGACAAATCAATTGAGACGAGCCAAGTCAGACTTGAGTTCCACTCAGATGACGGGCAATTCACGTCAATCACTGCCAGCGGCGGAGTCGCAGCGTCGCCTCATCGAATGGGAGCGCGAAAAGCTGGCCGAGCTCAAGGAACAGCGGATGAGGCGTGAGGCCAGCTTAGCACGAAAAAATCTGATCGACTCGGCGCGCCGCGAACTGAGCGCCGATGCCTGGGAGCAATGGGTGCATGCCTCGCGAAACAAGCCCAAGCCCGTGCCCATGGGCAAGGGCCTAGACTCGCTGCGCGGCACGAACTCGCCCCACTTCAAGAATCCCAACGAGTGGCAATCGCTGCAGGTGTCCAGTAACAGAACACAGCTGAGCCAGCCGACGCAGACGCCACAGCGCCATGGACCCGACTACGAGCGCCTGGAACGGCTGGCCCAGCCGCGCCGCCACAGATACAAGACCAGCTTTGTCCCGGAGGTAAAGAGCAATCAACTGGGACTGGAGGACGATTACCACCTGGCTAAGTTAAACAATTCACTGGACAGCTGCCTGTTGCGTCCGCATCGTACGCCCATCATCTGGAGCAAGACCAATGCGCAGCGTGTGCGCGAGATGAAAAGGAACGTGCCACTGGTGGAGACTCCGCGCGAGCTGCAGGACGATCAATTGGAGCAGTTGCGCAAGCAGCAAGAGCTGCAGAACAATAAAGTCCTGCCGCGAAAGTTTCAACAGAAGCGCGATCAGTTGCGTCGCAAGCTCAAGGGCTGGGTCGAGGAAGGTAAGGCGCTGCCTGTGCGCAGCCACAGCAGCTCCCACAGCCTGAAGGATGAATTCAAGCACGAGCAGAAGCAGGAGCTGAGGCAACAGCAACGACGCGCTGTCTACGTAGAAGAGACGGCCCATTTGCAGCGTCGCTTGGTCTCGCTCAACGAGTCGCGTGTTCAGCGCTCCGATGACCAACTGCAGTCGATAGCCAAAAAACCGATTGCTCCTCTTCAACGAGCGCGCAGCATCGAACCCAAACGCTTGCTCAAGGTCAAGGACTCCAAGGAGGCGCAAAAGGCGAGGCCTTGGCGTTAGGTTTTTCTTTTGTTTTTCTCGCCCCGAAGACCCCCCTCTCCTCTCTCTCTCTCTCTCTCTCTCTCTCACACACACACTCTCACTTGAATCCTTATATCCTTATTATATGTACAATCTTATTGTTTTTAAATTTTTTCATCATATATTTTTTATTCGGATCGCAATTGGCCTTATTCATTTATTTGTAGCTGTCTTCTGGTATTTACTTTTGAATTTCGTTGCTAGGCTACGTTCCAGACACCGATACGGTTTCACTTCAGTTTGTTGGAGGCTTAGCCCCGTAGAGCTCCTCTGTCACCTGCACACTGAAGCCCCAGCCAGCTACCACAGTTGAAGGTAAGAGGATAGAGAGTACTCTCTCATAAGCGGCTAACCTGTTAATGGAGTCTTATGGAGGTGGAGGCAGTTGAAATCGTTGCAGACGTGCCTCTAATCGCTCGACAATGCCGATTGAGAGAAGGTTGCAATAATTACGGCCACTTGGCAGTGATTACCTCAGCCTGACTCGAAGACGAAGACATCGGCAGTCGGAATGATGTCAGTGGGCTAATTGGGGGGGGGAGTGCGAATCGATACAGCTTAGGCTCTAGCCAAGCACTTGGCTCATTTGCATTACTGGGGCTTCTCAGCTAGCTCTCTTGTTGCAGAAGCTTGGGCGGTCGGTCAGTCGACAGAATGCAACGTTGGCGCAACAAAGTGGCCGTGGTTAGCGGCGCCAGCGCTGGCATTGGTGCTGCCTGTGCCCGGGCCTTGGTCGGTGCCGGTCTGGTGGTCGTTGGCCTGGCCCGACGCCAGGAGCGCATTGAGGAGATGCGTGCAAAGCTGCCGCCAGCCGAACAACGGCGCCTACATGCTCGACATTGCGATATAACGCGCGAATCAGAGGTGCTAGCTGCGTTCGACTGGACGCAGCGAGAGCTGGGCGGCGTTCACGTGCTGGTCAACAATGCGGGCATCATTGCGACCGCGGAGCTTAGTGGGGAGGGCAATACTCAAGCGGTACGCGACACCATCGAAACGAATCTAATGGGCAGTGTGTATTGCATACGCGAGGCATTTCAAGCGATGCGTCGACAGGAGCAACAGCAGCCCGCTGCTGAGGGCCACGTGATCATTGTGAATAGCGTTGCAGGGCAGCAGGTGCCAAATCTGGGACCCCAGCTGCCGTCGCTCAACGTTTATCCGGCGAGCAAGTTCGCGCTGCGTGCCATGCAGGAGATCTATCGCCAGGAGTTTCAGCGCCACCAAACGCACGTCCGGGTCTCGGTGAGTGCAGAGGCTCAAAACGATTTGAAATGCCTAAATACCGGTTGAAAGGTTCTTTGATTTGCGTGCTTAGTACTCCGAAATAAAGGACATACAGCACATAAGCATGACACTTGATATTTCCCTTCGGAGTTTCATCCATCGATCGACGCTCCAACCAATCTTTCGTCCGATCTGCCTTCTGAACTTCCTTTCAAGCTTCCAGTGTTTTTACCTTGCATTTGTCCTGACGTCCGACTTTACCTTTGATCTGCCGTCCCACCTTCCATCCGACCTGCCCTCCAATCGACCAATCGATCTTCCGCCCTTTTCTCCGACCTCGTGTCAGTATAAGACGTTTTCAACCTCCACTGTATATTCAATTCCAGACCATAAGCCCCGGCATTGTTGACACGGACATTCTGCCCGAGCAGATACAGGGCGTTATTAAGCCACACATGCCGATGCTGCGCTCAGAGGATGTAGCCGACGCCATACTTTGGACCATTGGCACTCCATCCAATGTGCAGGTGAGCATGAAGCGTGGAATGTTTTAGCATCTTCTGGCAGCACTTACTAACATCTACTACGACTTCTTTCCACAGGTACAAAACATTACCATCAAGCCGCAAGGAGAAAAGTTTTAATCTGCATTTCTAATATTAAAGACAGATTTATCGTCTAGCTTGGCTGTTGCTTAAGGGTACGAAGGGTATTATAACACTAGGGTTAAGACTAGCTCTTCCTCAACTAAGCCTCACTAGCTGCATTTGTTGAGTACCTAGTCAAGTTGGAACGCAAGCTTCATATGTATAAAAATTCCGAGCTAGGTAGCTGCTGCTGGCTCCAATCATCAAACAAACTCTTGCACTTGGCAAATGTAACCAATTAAGCTCCTATGCAACGCCATTTCCCTGGACCAGCTCAAGAAAAGCGGTGGCCAGCGCAGCCCCAGAGGACTTGAAACTTGATTGAAGTACATTGTACCTCGGCCCAGAAGATGATCAACAAATTCCGCATCGATCAGGCCATCAGAGCTCCAATTGTTAAGGCACAAAAACAAAACATGAGACAGAAAAAATCGAAATCGAAATCGAAATCGAAGGGAAAAGCAAAATCCCGTAAGGAGTAGAGAAATTTGCATTTTCTGTTTTACAAATGACGCAGGTGCTGCGGCTAAGGCTAAGGCTCGATGCACGATGCGAAGCATCGGACAAGCAGCTCATTGGATTGCCAAACAACGAGCCAAAGCACACACACACACACACACACACACTTAGTGAGGGGGCGACATGGGAGAGGTCAGTGCACAGAACATTGCGAGCAGCTCAATTTTTGGCTAAAATGTGGGGTCGACCCTTTTTCCTTTTAGCCAGCACTCAAATCAACAGCAGCTGCGATTCCTACAGCCAACTGTCTCTACTCCCACTCTCGCCCTCTGCCCTCTCTCTACCCGTCTCTGTCACACATCTATGCGTTATGTGCTGGCCATACCTGTTACCTGACCAAAAACACAAGAGAAAAAATCGACCAATGTCTCGCAATGAAAATGGATTAAAAGGATAAGTGGGCGGCAGAGCGTGTGGGTCTTGTATCTTGTGGTTCAACTTTATGGAGCCCAGGTCTCCCCCTCTCCCTCTCTCTCGTTGTCCCCCTGCAATTGCATTGTCTGCGCTGTGGTCCGGCGGGCAGGCAGTTGACCTGCGCCCTCAACTTCACAGCCTCGGCACAAAGTCAGCAGGTCACATCGAACTCCCAGCCCCAAAATTCCCTTTCGATTGTTAGCCTAATTGAATTAACCAAAGAAACTTTAAAACTTGGATCCCAATTACTGTCGCTGCACTAGGCTCAGCCAAATGCAGATTAAGAGGCACCGCCAGGGCTGCAGCTTTTTAATTAACTTATTGAAAAGACACGTTTAATCAGCGTGGGAGAGCTTTAAAGCTGCAACGAACTAGGAGCTTTAAAACGGGCTATTTCAAGTAAGTATCTAGACAATCAGCACCAGAAAGTTCTCAAGTAAATATAGTTATCAAGCTGAAAGCTCGACCAGCGCCATATAAAAAACAGCGGTAGCAGAGACTACTTTACAGGCATCCAAAAGCTTTTCTATTGCAGCTTGGATTAAGCAAAAAGTTGGATTAAACTTGCAGGCTGAGAGCTTTACCGAATGCCAGCTTGTGGCTCTCACGTCCCTCTCTCGAAAGCATAAATATACATTGAAAGCTTTCGTATTTGTAAAAGCTTATCTGCGCCTGTCGATTAGCTTTGCTCTCACTGCTAGCAGCTTTCAACTTTAATCTGATCATGCTCAATCCAATCTCGAATAGCTTTCAGCTTAAGTCAAAAGCTCATTTATGCTGATTATAAAAAATGTATTTTATTGTCTTTGATTTGAGTGATGCCTAAAGCTGACTGGCGTGAACTTTTAAAGCACGTGGACAAATGGCAGAACGGGAAAATCGATGGTAAGCTTTTGCCTTAGGCAAAAGCTTTTGCTGGGCTCTGTTCATATTTAATCTTCAAGCGCCAGGCCTCTGGCTTTGAATTTAACCTTAAATGTACAGGGATGGCAAAAGCTTTTAGATTCTGCCAAAGCTTTTGCTAATTATCTATGAAAGCTCCGTTAAATGTTTACCTTGTTAGCTTTGCTCTCGCTTCGCCTTGACTCGATCCGTGTTTAGCTGGCTAGCTTAAAGCTTTCATCGGAAGCTCCTTTCCCGTGCTCACCACATGCGCCGCCGTGCGACATGCGACGCGCTGAGGTTGTCCAGACGTCGATGCAGCGAACGCTGCGCCACTGACATCGGCACATGCAAATAGAGCGAGGCGACTTGATTGTGCAGTCGCCTGCGCTGCCGCGACGCAGCAGCAGCGACAGCAGCTGCAGACGTAGTCGACCTGCCTCGCCGCGACTGCTGCTGCGGCTGATGCTGCTGCGTGCGCAGCCTCTGCACTGCCTGTTGCGGCTGCGACTTGAACGCCAGCCGCATCATCCAGCGCTGCCAGGCGAGCTGGCTGAGCTGCTCGCGCAGCTTCTCGTGGACGAACTCCTCCCGCTGCACATGCATTTCCTGCTCGCGTCGCAGCTGCGACTCTGCCAGCTTGCGCTGCTCCCACTCACGCAGCGACTGTTCCGTTAGCTTTTGCCTGCTGAATGCTGTCGCCTCTGCCGCGAACGAATTGTCTCTGCGAAATGCGTGCTGCAGCACCTGCCGCCGCTTGGCGAGCAGCCAATCCGAGTAGCTCTTGTCCGACATTTGTTGACGTAGCTGCTTCACCTGCTGCAGTCGCTGCGCCTCGCGTCGGCTCTGACGGCGACGGAGCGTCTCTTGGCTTCTGTTTGGCAAAAGAAAAAAAAAGAAATGCAAAAGGAGAGATGAGTAGGAAGAGGCAGGATAGCAAGTAGGAAGAGAGAGAGAGAGAGGCAAGAGTGCAAAGAGTCGAGTAAAGAGAGTGAAGAGAGTAAAGCTTCTGAAGAGAGCGCAGGAAGTGATGAAAGTGAAGAGAGTGATGACGGTGAAAAAAGATAAAAACAGAAAAATGAATGCATGAAGGACGGAAGTGAGAGAGAAGATATCGAAGAGAGAGAGAGAAAGGAGAGTAGAGATAAAAAAAAAATGATATATCTGAATAAAAACTCGAATCTCACCTTTTGCGCAGCAGCCACTGCTCAAAGGTCAGGCGTCGCCGCACTGGATGCAGCTGTTCCTGCTGCTGCTGCTGCTCCTGCTGCTGCTGCGACTGCTGCGAGTCTCCCGGCTGTGCTACTCTGCTTGTTGTGCTATAGTCCTGCGTCTCCAGCCAGAAGCTGTCGCCGCCGCCGCTGCTGCTGGCGCTGCTCTGCTCAAAGTCCGACAGCGACAGCAGCGGCGGCGTTTCGGCGCGCCGCGGCCACGTCACTGCCTGGCGTGGCAGTCGCTCCACTGAGCTGGAATTCACTGCAATTGGCGTCGCTGCCGCTGGCGCTATCGCTGCCTCAGTCGGCGTCTGCTGCAGTCGCAGCCGCAGCGTCGGATAGACCTTCTGCTGGCTATGCGAATAGAAGATATTTTGGCGCAGCTCAAGTCGTGTCGCATGCTCATGGCTCACCTTTGGCTGGAGCCGGCGTTCACAGCGACGCCTGTCACGCTCATTTCCTGCTGCTGATGCCGCCTCGCAGTCGGCAGCGAAGTCGACGTCTGCTGCGCGCTTAAATCGCTCTCCTCCACAGCCATTGCCAAAGTCTTTACGCAGATCAATTTAATTTGCACCTATATTTCGAGTTCAAATTTAAAACCAAAAAATTTTCTTAGATATTTTTGTTTTCTTTTCCCTTTTTGCTTAAGAGATATTTCGTTGGAATTGTCAAACCTCTGACAGTTAAATGAGAACTGAGAGAATGGAACTGAGAGAGTCAGCAAGTGAATATGTGAGTGCGAGCGTGACAACAAATTCATAGAGGGAGTGATGATCAACTTTCTACATTTTTATCGGTAACCTCCATAGTCTCCATTCGGCACTCTCATCTCTAAGCGTTCGATTTTTTTTTTTTTTTTATTTCCCAAGCTTTTTCACTTTTTTACCCAACTCTTCACTATTTTATCTGTATTCTACAAGCACCGTTTGTTTTAATTTCTTTGCCTTATTTTACTTTCTGGTCTCCAAATCAGCATTTTTTTTAATTTTCATGCTAATCTCTCCACTCTCATCTTAATTGCTCTTTTCTCTAGTCTGCAAGTCTCCACTTCAGCTGCTCCTTTCCTTTCCACATTCTTCCCGCTGTATGCCCTGGCTCTAGTACTACTCTCCCCTTTATTTTCTGCCAAATCTTTCTTTCCAAATCTCTTTTTGTCAACAAAAATCTCTCCAATTGTGTTGTCTTTCGTACTCCCCTGATCTCTCCCAGCCTTTTGGTCACTTCTCTACACGCGTAAGAAAACATTTTTATTTATTCGCAATCTCCATATTATTTTCTTTTATAATATTTCAGTCTCTTTCTATCGCTCGCTCACTGTAGCTGCCCGCTGGGCAGTGCGTAAAAGTGGGCGACAGGTGGCGAGGGTGGACGAGGTTCGCTCACCTGGCCAGGTGAGCCAAGGGTCGCAATGCTCGAGGGGCAGCCAGGTGAAGGTCGCAGCATCCATCAAGTATTTGTCGTTGTCGTTGGCGTTGTCAAATAGCAACAGCCACAACAACAACAACAAAAGCAAAACTTGCTTTTGCTTTGCCGTTTTTGTTTTTGTTTTTGTTTTCCTTTCTGTCTTCTTCTCGTTGACTGAGTTGCAAACAATTTTTACAGGTGCGTAACGGGGGATGTGGAAAGACAAGAAAGTAACGGGCAGAGAGTGAGAGCGAAGAGGAGGACTGAGTTGGTTAAGGTTGCAACTAAAGCAACAGCAGTAACAACAACAGCGACAACGACAACAATGCGAAATATTTCATTGCATTCAGTCAAAACGTCAAAGCCACGCCCACCTCGGTCGCCCGTGCGCCCACAAATTGGGAGACAGGCGACATTTATTTGTATTATTTTAATTGCAGCTAAGCAGCGGGCAGAGGCAGAGGCAGAGGCAGCAGCAGCGGCAGTGGTAGAGAGCTCTAAAAGTAGCGGTAAATGCAGCAGCGAAGCGTAGCCGCGACAGATGTAGCAGCGATGGCGGCGCTGCAGCGCTCCTTTCATGTCAGCAATGGCGGCAACAAGCAGCAGCGCCAGCCGAGGCAGCGGGAGTGACAGAAGCAGCCATTTTGATGCAGTTTGTGTAAGTGAAAGGAGAGAGAGAGAGAGAATGAGAGACAGAGAGGGGGGCAAAGGGAAGAGGGGCTACTTATTATAAGCAAAACGCTAGTGCGAGACAGAGATAGCTATAGAGCAAAACTGAACGAAGCTGTAGAGAGTAAGAGTAAGGAGTGGGCTTGTGGGTGCGACAGGGAGAGGGTAATTGTTACTTCGAGCAAAGCGAAAGTGAAATTGGGAGAGGAAGGGAGAAAGACAGCGAGAGAGTTGCTAGTTTTTCGGGGCCACACTTGACATTTAACTGTTAAATTCTTAACTGGCAACTGACGCCGGCGTCGCAGTTTCCGCCGCCGTCGCCTTCGCCGTCAGCGCCAACTGAATAATAATGACATTTTAATTAAATGAAAGCCCGAAGAGTCTAGGGCTGTCAACTGCTTGTGACAGACTGTTAGAACTGAAATGCGTTTCAGCTGTTCTGCCCAGTCACGCCCACCGCCCCTTTCGAATGCTTGGCAGCGTAATAAGCCATTCTAACGGGAAAAGTATTGGACAACCATTTCGAAATAATTCTTAATGTTGGAAAGAATTACTGAACAAATGATATATGAATAATACCTATATAAAAGGAAATGTGTGATAATACATCTCCGGATTATTTTTCTATCAGTCTCTAGAGATTCTCTGATTCTCTCTCTATATCTCTCTCTCTCTCTCTGTCTCTCTCCCCCTTCCCCTCTCTTTCCCTTTTCTCTTTCTATTTATATATATTTGTATTGACCTAATTCCCACTGTATGAACACAGTCACATATACTCTATATATTTGTTGTCGTAACAAGTATACACGACTATATGCAAGTACTACAAAATGTAACAAAAATCTTCTGAATTCAAGCTAAGTATACTTCATGTTTGCTCTACTCAATACATTTCCTATAGCTGCCAATATGCCCGCTAACTTATGCTCTACAGGGTATTCAACTATATGCGACGCACATAAATTGTCAAATTGCAATTGCCAGGTAAACGGCGCCCCGAAATAATCCCGCCGAACAGGCGACGTAGCGACACCCTGTGCCAAGCGACGCCCCCTTTCAGACGGTGCACCCTGTGCGAAGCGAGTTGTAATTGAAAAAAATTGCGTTGCATACTTGTAGGCATGATTTATAACAAGAGCAACAACAACAGAGCTGAACATAATAAAAACTGAAGGGAGAGGGCGGAAAAGAGAGGGAGAGAAGGAGGGAAGAGGTAGACAGAGAGAGAGCGAGAGAGAGAGAGAGGTGAATAAAATGTCACGCCAATTGCTGAGACAAACAATTTTGCTTATTGTTGTTGTTGTTGCTGTTGCTGCGTCAGCAACTTTTTGGTTGTTGCTGCTGCTGCTGCTGCGGGTATTGGCAAATGCGTCGAAAGACAATAAACGTAACCACGTGCATAAAAAGCAGAAGAAGAAATAAACAAAAAAACCAAATGAAGATGCAAAGAGGCGATAAGTGAACGACTAGCAGATGCCCTGTAGAGTAGCATCAACAAAGATATCTAATGAAAAGTACTTTGAGATTATTTATAAAAAAGCGAATGTTATGATCGTATAATATCGATATTTATTAAGCAATTAGATATTCTTCTTCTTCTTCATCTTCATCTCCTTATCACGCCCTTCCTCCTCTTCAGCTGCTTCTTCACTTTCTTTTACTGCTTCTTCTTCTTCTTGAGCTTCTATTTTTTTCTGCATCATCTTCTTCCTCTCCTTCAGTTATTTCATCTTCTTTGCCGTCTCCGTCTTTATCTTAATCGTTTTCCCTTTTTCCGTCATCATTCCTTCTTCTTCTCCTAGTCACTCCTACCTCTCTCAGCCTTGCGTTACATGTCGGGCTCAACAGTTAATATACCCGCTCTTAAGCCATTTCCATGGCGCGCGAACTATAAAAAAGAAACAAAAGGTAAAGCCAAAGAGAAACGTAAATGGGAAATGCTGAAAGCAACAAACAGCGAAATTCTCATTCAACCAACAGCAAAGAGCCGAAGCAGCAACGAAGGAGCAGATGAAGAAGAGGACGAGGAAGAAGAAGCAAAACAATTGTTAAAACAGATTTCGGTTACATAAGAATCTGAATTTCCCGTTTCATTTTTGAGAATTTGCACTTTAAAAACTTATTTTTTCTGGCTCTCGGCAAGCGGCAATTGGTGGGCCGCACACAGGTTTGGGGCCGCAGGGCTTGACGGCTTTGAATATGCAAAATAGTTCCCGCCGATAGTTGAATAGTTCAATTGAAAACTAAGCGAACAAATCGAAGGCTTGCGGTCTTTGAGGCCAATAGCAATGGCTGGGCCCTGCGAGTCCCAGAGGCTCGAATCCCAGCAGATTCTTAGATTCAGTTGGTCGAGCTGTTTGAGCTGTTCGCTCAGTTAAAATTGGTGGTCCGCAGGCTCCAGCCCCAGCTATGAGAGAGGCAGAGAGAGACAGAGAAACACGCTTTATGCTCGGAATATCCTACACGCATTTCATATATTTATCAATTTACCATCTGCAAATACCCTACACTCATGCTGCACTGCCTGAATACCCTTTAGTTTATGAATACCCTACTTCAGCTGTATTCCCTTCACAATCTGAATACCCTAGACCATCTGAGTAGCCTACATCATCTGTATACCTTAGCCTACACTAGCTCAATACCCTGTACTTTCTGTAGGATAACATCTGAGCCCCCTACATAATCCAAATGTCCTGCGCCATCTGAATACCGACAACTGCTGAATACCCTACATTGTGTGTATCCCTTCCAATACCCTACAATGTCTAAATACCCTTCATTCTCTATAGCCCCACACATTATCTGAATACCCTACGCCGGCCGACAACATTTGTTCGCTTCTTCCGCCCCATTTGTCAGTTCCTGTTCCAATAATTTCGAGTTTACGCATACCATAAAACCAGCAGGAAGAAGAAGAAGAAGAAGGGAATTTATATTTTTATTTATACCTCGCACACATACAAGTGACCTGACCTACCTACACCACGCCCCCCACCCCCACCCGCTGCCCCTCGCACCTTGTCAGCGGATTCTGTTGTCAGCTTTGTTACTTTATTAAAAGCATTTGCAGTCAGTGGAGCTGGCACGTGCCTGGCCAGCCAGCGGCAGAGCTAGCCGCCCACACGTCTGCTGACGTAACACCTGAGGATGTCTCTAAGATGAGTCCAGCCGGGGGAACAGAAGCTACGAGCGTGCACTGGGAGAAATCAGTGAGAGTTATTTATACCTTTTTCAGCTCTCTCAAGATGAACTTCTAGCTCATCGTATCAGTTCAATTGAACTGTTTATGGAACTCTCTCTCCCTTCCTCTTTCTCTCTTTCTCTGTCTAAATATCTAGTTACCTCCATTTCTCTCAGTGTATTTCGTGGCAAACATTTGCGTTGTTTGTGTTTCGTATTTGTATTGCGACATTTCCATAAAATGACAAATTTTACGACGTCAATAGGCGGCGGCAGCGACGCCAGCAGCGATGTCGACAGCGGCAGCAGCGTCATTGACGCGATATCGACAATAAATAGGAAGGGCAAGAGGAAGAAGATAAGAAAAAGTTAAGCGACAAGAAGAAAGAAGAAATTCAGTTATCCCTGAAAAGAGAGAAAGAGAGAAAGAGAGAGATAGAGAGAGAGACAGGCACAGAGAAAGAAGGAGAGAGATAGAGTGAAACTCTGAATCGATAGAGGGAGAAAAAAATAGATAGGGAGAAAACTTTACTCTGATATTGGAGACGATAGTTCGCATTCTAAACGATAGTTTCCATTTAAGAGCTATGGGGTGGCTTGACAGTGGTCAAATGCTTCATAATACAGAGAGACGGAGAGATTGAGGCCAGCATATGACACCATACATATATATATATATATATATATATATATACATATATATATTGCAGATCAATTTTTCACAATTGCATTGACTCACGCCCTTCTCTGCAATTCTCATTACCAAATGCACTGGCAAATGCAGCAACTCATTGATGATACTCTGCACTTAATTTCCGTTCGCGGTTGTAAAAGAATATTTGATCGGGGGGCTGGCAGGAAGTGCTAATAGTGCCACGCCCACTGTCCATCGCCCCTCACGAAAATTGACAGGCGGCGCCAAAATTTGATACAAAAGAAAGTTAATTAAACGGGGCAGAGTGAGTGGGCGTGGCAGAATAAGGGGTGCCTGGAGAGGGCTTAACCTTGATCAAATTTGGGCTTTAAGTCTGATTCATCAATTTGTCCATTTGGCTAACATTTTTGACAGTGTTTTGTTACTGCTCGTATTCTGTTGGTATTTTTCTAGTATTTTTTGCTGCTGTGCAAAATTGTTGCGTGCTTTGCGGCTTTCTCGTTGCAGCCCAAGCCGCAGCCTTTCAACACAATTTAACACACATCACACACACACAGGAACACAACCCATTCAATTGATAGACTTTTGAGCAACGGCACAAACCGCAAAAATGTAAGAAAAAACTCTAAGGAAAATGCTTAAAAGCTGAGAAGTGAAATAGCTCTAATTGAGCACGACTTGCGTATATCCTGTAATGTATTATACCCCACTCTACTTACAGTTAAAGTACCTTTAGAGTACTTTTAGAATCACAAATAATTTTGAAATAATTTTTATATGTTATAAACATTTTTAAATTTTCATTTAGTTATTCAACTTTTACAGGGTATACAGTCAACATATTTTAAACCAGGAGTTGACCAAATGCCATTCTGGCAAAATTGAATAAATTGTGGTATACTTTTGGACTGCTCTACTAAAGGCCCCACAATATACGTATACGATATATGTCAATATATATATATAAGTATTATGAGACTTATTTATTAAATCCTTTTTCTTCATTTTCACAGTTTCAATTCGGGTTTTAGCGAAAAGCTTGAAAATTATATTTTTAATCAATTTCCTTATAAATATTTCATAAAATTTTTTAAATATCGCGTCAAAGACGATTTCAATGGCTATCGCAGTACATTTGGCACATCTCTAATAGCTGTTGTCCATCACTCTGCATGCGTGTGCGTGCGTGTGCTTGCGATGCTGTTTTAAATGGTGTAAGGATAACAAAAGTCTACCTTTTGTCAAATTGCAACGGTTTAATTGCAGATAAGCAAAATGCTAAGCCGCACACATTTAAGAGAGAGTGAGCGCACACTCCAGCTTGCTCTCTTAGCCATCGAGCACGCGTCGAACATGTGCGTTACAGGTTGCGTGCGCGCTAACATTGCGGTTGCAGCTGCGCGCTGTTGCCGTAACAGCGTCGCTTAGCAGTACCCACTGTTAACGCAAGCCAGGCTGTTAACAGATGCAAAAGCAAAGCCGTCCGAGGCGGTTGTCGTAGCGGGTCCGATGCGAGGTACGATTCCGAGTTTAGAGCGTGAAAATTCCGTAAAATATTTTTGTGTGTGATTCACTTTGAGAGTTGTTGTTTTTTCTTCTCACTCAATCGCGCGCGCGTTATCGCCGGCAAAACGAAGTAAAACGAAAATAATCAAAAAATTAAATAAATAAAAGAAGTTATTTTTGTTTTCTGCAAAATGCGCGCGTGTTTTTTTTTTGTCAACCGCTTAGCGAGCGACCCAGAAGCACAAGAAGAAGAATAAGATGGTATATATTTTTTTTTTGTTATTAAGTGGAAAAGTGAGAGTGCGAGCAGTAAAGCGATAATACGAATGCAGTTCATAAGCAAAATGCAATTAAATCTAAATTAATGCAAAATCAAACAGCAGCAGCCAAAGTCAAAACAGAAGCAGTAAAAGAAGCGAAGCACAAAGCAAAGGTAAAAGATGAAGAAGAAGATGAAGATAACAGAAATACCAAAAACAACAAAAGTGCAAGCGTGTGTGTGTGTGTGTGCTTGTGTGAGGCAACCCGTTGAACCGGTTCAGCCAGCCAAATGCAGCAGCAGCAGCAGCAACAGCAACAAATACAACATGTGAAAAATAAGGAAGAAATAAAACCAACAGCAACAACACCATATATTACCTTAAAAATACGGATATATGTATATGTGTGTGTAGTGCTCTTAAGCGCAGCTTGCGATCGCATGTCGCTCTCACGCTCTCAAACATGTGCAGTAGCTGCAGCTGCGCTACCTGCTAACAACATGCTCTTCAAATTGCCCAACGCTCTTAAGTCTATAAATATCAGATTGAATAGAAGCTTGTAAATTCGTTTTGTGTGCGTGTGCGTTCTCGTGCTGCGCTTGCAGCTTTAATTAGAAATTTGTTGATTCCGCTCTTAAAGCTAAAAGCATGCAACGCTGTTCAAGTTAATACTTGTGTGTGTGTTTTGTGTTTGCTTTCGATCGCGCTCGCACTCGCTCGCTCTTGCACATGTTGCTGGCAGCGCTCTTTGATATTTCTTGATCTATGTATGTGTGTTCGTGCTTAAGCTAACGCTCTCTGCCGCTCAACAACAACAGCAGCTACTGATTTAATAGCGCTCTTTAAGCACATTTATTTATCCTGCGCCTGCAGCTTAAATATAAACTTATGCGCGTTCTCTCTCGCTCTTATAACACTATTTGAACATAAAGCCTGCAAATGTATGTGTGTGTTTTTGCAATAACAATCAAATGGAAAAATGCAAAGCGCAGCAGTTTTAAAATAACAATTATTACCCGCTTAACCGGTTCATGTCTGCATAACAACAACAGCAACCACAAGAGAAAAGCCAAAATGCAGCCGTAAAATGGCCAATGAAGTCCAAAATGAATCACAATGAAAATTGCAACAAAAAACACATAAAAAAAAACAACAAAAAACGTGTTCTTATTGCAAATGCTGCCGCCGCAAAATCTTTGCCAAAAAATGAAGCGAATCAAGCATAAAGCAAAAGTAAAGCAAAGCAGAGCAGCGCAGTAGCAGCGATAGCGACGTTTGCTTTTCTTGGTGTTGTTATTTTTATTTTTGGGCAAAGGCGAGTACAGTTAGACGTAAATAAGGACCAAAGTGCCTGCTAGGCATATGTGTCTGTGTGTATGTTGGCGTGCTTTTAATGAAGAGACAAATAAGTAGCAGACGAAGAAGAAAAAGAGGAGCAGTAGTAGCAGAAGCAGAATAGGCAGCGCCAAAGGTGATTAGCAGGCAACACACAGGCTGTGCTAAGCTATGCGTGCGAACGAGACGAAGTGAGGCAAATTAAATTTTTTAGCTGTCAACAGGCCGAAAATGTGAAATATAAATGAAATATATGTAAATCCCCTGAAATTTGAGGTGAATGCTGCAAGGAGACAAGCATATAAGAAATATTTTCCGATTAGCATGAGAGATGGAGCTGAAATATTTAGACGGACAGATAAGAGAGAGTGGAAGAGAGAAAGAGAAAGAGAGAGACACTGAGACTTAGGCTTTGGCTGAGATAGAAAAGACCGAGAAGCAAACCACAAAGGACACTAAATTTAATCTCACGAGCGAATACCAACCAAATCAGTTTCCAGTGAATATTTGAAATGAGAGGAAAATAAGCAGAAATTAATACGAAAAATAATTCCTAGAAATTGAACTAGAAGAATTATAATTTATTTATATTTTCCTTAAGACATTTTCTACCCTTCCTGCATTTCCCTCCTTCCCTCTCTCTCTCTCGCTCTGCTTCTCTCTTCTGCTTTAAGCTGACTTAAGCTTAACTTTTTAAAGTTTCTGAACAACTTTTCTACAATATTTTTGTCTTCTGCTTTTTCCAGTTAGTTAAAACTTTGCGCCGTACACCAAATGCTGCTTTAAATGCGGTGAAAAATTATATTTGCAGAAATAATTCTAAATAATGAAATCGGAGATTTCACGGGGGAGTTCCTTTAGGCCAAGTCTTAGAGTTACAGCATCTATTGGCGGCGTCTTCTTCTTCCCTTCAAATCATCAAAAACGAATTTGCATAAACTGTTAATGGGAAACTAATCGATTGGCTTGACGAGCGAATGAAGCACAAAAAGTTGCAAAATAATTGGAATCTTAATTGCTCGAAGCCGTTGGGCCTTTTATTTCTGGATGGACAAGTCTATTAAGTCAATAGCCTCGAGTGGGCCAAGATATTTTGACACGATTCACTTCTGGACCAACGGATCACGCGCCCGAAACGAACTTAACTTTGCGATTCTTTGAAAATGGCATCGCAAACGTAGCTGAAGCGCGAAGTGAAACGTGATTCAAGCCAAAATCGTGATTCGCACTCGAAAGGCCAAGCAACAAGAGCTGAAATTCTGGAAGAATACATAAAAAACTCGATTGAAATCGAAGTGGCTCAAAGGTTAACTCCCACTCGACATAGGATACGACAGCTCCCTGCCTCCATTATAGATATATGGCTATATATGCAATAGCCAATCGGAGTATTCGCCTTTAACACTTGGGAATACACATAAAAAAATGGAATCGAAATTGGAATCCAGCGCAAAGCACAACTGAAATGGAGCGAGAACAGCAACAACAACAACGACGACGACGACGTTGATCAACACTGAAACTGGACGCCACAAACAATACGAGAGAGAGAGAGAGTGAGCGAGTGAGGGAGAGAAAGAGCGAGAGCGAGAGAGACTGACGCTCTGCCCTGCTGTTTCGGTCTTTAAATGCTAAGCCAAACAAACAGAGCAAACTGCAAAACTTGTTTTTGGCGATGATTAAGGCAAACAACAACAACAACAACAACAACAACAACAACAACAACAACAACAACAACATTTCTTGCTGCCCAGGCCAAAAAGGCAGCTGCCCCAACTTCGGCAGAAAATCGCGTTTGCCTGTGGCTGAGGCAGCTTCTGGCTGTGCCTCTTGCCCCGCACTCTTCCCAACTTCAACAGATTCTCCAGATTCTTTTCGTGCCTCTGTCCCAGACTCTCCTCTAGCTGCTTCCTCAGGCTCTTTCCTTGTCTGTTCTCTTGCCCATGTCCCAGACTCTCCTCTAGCTTCTTCCTCAGACTCTTCCCTTGTCTGTTCTCTCGCCGCTGCCACAGCTTCCTTTTACTTTACCTCTTCCCCAGCTTTTTGCCTGCCTTCTCTGCTTCAGGCTCTGCCCCTGGCGCTTCCTGCTCTTCTCCTTGGACTCACACGCCATGTGTTTCTGCTGCTTCTTCTTGCTCTTGTTGTTGGGCTGTCACGAGTACAGTTTGTCGCGTCTCTTCATCGTCAGCTTTCCTGATCAATAAACAAATATCAAAGAAATCGAATAATTTAGCGAACAAATAAAGCTACATATATGTGAGGTATATATAAGATTAAATATATATTTATATATAAATATATATATATATATAGCATCTGCAGAGAAAGTTCTGAAGACGCAGCCAATGAAATTTCCAAGGCGAAAGACTTGAAAGATAATGGATACAACGAATCGGCATATGTTTAACCTTGTGTACGAGAAATTAACACTCAAATGGTTCAGATTCATAAAGTCACAATACACAGAAGCTCGATAAAGTAAAGAAACGAAATTACAGATAACTTGCCACATAAAGTGCGCAATTCAGGAACAATTCCAAAAAAGAAGAAGAAGAAAATATTTATTTTCCAGTCAAGGGTATCTGTCGATACGTTTTACGAATTATATATGAACTTATTTCTGTCAGTATGGAAGACTTTGGCTAAGTGGGTTAGATGTTTGATAAAGATTGAGCTATATTAAGATGGAAAAGCAAAGCTTTTATCCATAAAAGTTTCATTTAATCTTAGGCAGCTCTAAGAAACTTTTGAAACTATTCGAATTAGCTAGATAAAGTTGAATTTAAGTCAATTTCACATGGATAAGGCATACATATATATTTATTTATATTAGATATATATATATATATATATATATTTATTTATATTGGATATATATTGTAGCAGGCTCTTAGCATCCTTTCTATATTGAAGCTTTGTGAATTTTACCTGCTTCAGGTCAAGTTCTCATCTTCAAATGAAAGGCTCTTTTAATGCCTATTACAGAGACAACCCGCTCACCTTTTGCGTATGTCAAAAGCCTTCTCAATTTAAGGATTAGTCTAAATGAATAAGAACTTGACAGTTACCATATGCATATATAATTATAGCTATACCTATATCTATCTACAGCTTTGTTCATAAAAATAGTAGTGCGACTGAGCACCAAAGCAATTTGGCGTTAAGCACAATACTTTGAAAACAATTTGAAACAAATATTAAAAATGAAAAAAGAAATGAATTCTATTTACTATTGTTATTAACAAAAAAAATTGTTCGTACTTCTTATATATAATATAATATATAATATAATAAAAGTGCTGGATTTTCTATTTTATTGAACGTCCTTCTTCAACTCCTTATATCCAGCACTACAATTTTTATACCCTGATTTTTTATTGATTTTATTATTATTGCATTAAGTTACATTAATATTGATGAGGAATATATATACGCATATGTTATGCTATATACATACGTATATTTAGATCTGCAGATAGATATTTTCATCTATAGATCTACATATTTCCACACGTAGAACATTATATCTGAGTTCTTTTAGCAACAAGCAACTTTCAGAGTTCCTTAAAATTCTAATTGGTTTTTTTTGGCTAAGAAAACAGTTCGTTTTTTTTTATATTTGCTTTTGAGCTCTTGCTTGCTCTTCCTCTGCCAGTGCTCAAATTGAGCTACTTTTTAGCCTTTTTTTTAATATGCTTGTTTATTTTTTTTGGCTAATTTAACGCGTTTTATTTCGTATTTTGTTGTTATTTCAATTGCGTTTTATTGCTGCCTTTGTTGGTGTTTTCGTTGTTGTTGCTTCAGCGTTTTTTTATTTTTTTTATTTCTCGCTATTTTTTTCTTATTATTTTTATTGTTTATTGTTCTTCAGCGCCTACGCGCCAGTTGTTTCGTCTCTCTCCTTCAACCTCTCTTCTCTACCGTCACTATTTCTCACACTCTTCTACTTCATTTGGCTGTGTTGATTTATTATGTTGCCTTCTCGCTTGCGCCCAAGCATTGTTTTGTTTACTTCAACGCGTTCGCTTCGCTCTTTGCTCTTCACACTCATTCGTTCGCCCTCTTTCTCACTCACAAACATGAATTTTTGTCTGATCAATCAAACTCCAACGCGCACGCAACTTCGAACCGCAACTTCTTGCGCTCTTCGCTTTAACTTTATTTCGTTATATGCCTCTTATTAATCTCGCGGTGTCTCTCTCTCTCTCTTTATCCTCTCTTTGCAGCTGTTGAACGCATTAAGCGCGCATCCATGGATTTCAGCCGCTTGCCATGCAATACAATTATCATAAGGTGAGCAAAGCAGATAAAAAAGTAGAAGATGTGGAAGAGGAAGACGAACGTAACGGTAAAGCGCTTAACTCTTCAGCTGAAGCCAGTTGAATGGAAAACGTGAGCAAGCGCGTTTTAAGCTCGGTTTAAAAGCTGTCAAATGATGAGTTTAAGAGAGAAATGTATAACAGTTCAGCTTGATATGCATGTGTGTGTATAACACTTACATATATAAAGTGTTTCGTTATAAACTATATTATATTATGAAATGCTATTGCGGAGTGGGCGGATGCTATGTTGGCACACTCATGGCAAATATAATAGGCTCACTAGCTAAATATGGGCTTAAAGGTTTACTTTTGCATATCAAGCATCCTATTCTTCCTGGCTTATATTATAGGTACCCCTTATTTGTAAGGTATATACTTAACTTTCTGATATACATTATTGTACTTACACTAATGGCACAAATAAAAGGCACACCAGCGAAACTTAGCCTTAAAGTCAAATTGATTCACATTTTTATGATATTCTAGTTAGTAATATCATCTTATAGGGTATATAAATTGCTTGACTTCTACTAATAGCTGTACTCTGTGTGCCTAAAGGTACTTCAATCACTCAACTTCGGTCTTGAACTATAAAAAAAAAACACACACACTTAACACTTAAGAAAAAACTCGACTAAAGAAGTTCCCATTCAGGGAATCTAAAATATGTTTATGACTTTTTTTTTGACAAGTGTAACGAAATACCGATCGAGAGTGAGAGTGCGGAAGAGAGAGAGAGTGTGTGTGTGGGAGGGAGAGCGAGAGAGGGGAGAGGAAACATACGTGAAAAATGGATCACATATGTTTTAACTTTACGATATCAAATAACGCGAAATATGTTGTCGAAGTGTGAGTGTGTGGGAGAGAGAGAGAGGGTATGTGTGGGAGAGAGAGAGAGAGAGAGAGGGTGTGTGTGAGGAAGTGTGTGTGTGCGGCTATTGAACTTTACTTTTGAGACAAACGAAACGCAAAAGGCGCTCGAAAAATGTGTCTTCCAAGGGTGTGTGTAGAGAGGTGTGTGTGTGTGTGTTTGCGTGTGTGTGTTTGTTTGCTTGTCTTTCTGTTACTCATATATCATGTGCTCATAAATTTAAACGTCATTTGACAAATATGGCGTCACACGAAATTGTCTTTCGATATGCCAAGTGGAAAAGCGAAGAAACAGGAATTCAAATGATTTATAAACACACGGAGCAATGCCAAAAGCAACAGCAACAACAACAACAACAATTAGAACAAGTTGCAAGCGCAGTTGAAGCTGAAGCAATAATAATCATTATATTATTTTAATATAATAACAAAACCTCAGACACGAAACAACAACAAAACTGAACCAAAGCGCGCAGATGGGGTATGCTCGACAAGCGTTTGCCCTGGAAGCCCTGCTTGCCCTGTATCTGCCCTGAGTTTATTTTGTCTTCGTTTCACACATGGAAAAAATTACTTTCCTATTTCAGATAGCTAAAGTAGACCTAGCAGAGTCCTAGATGGCGTACGCTGGACTGTAACTGAGATATAGATATGTTAACATATCAAAACTAAGAAATTTTTATAGTGAATATCGCAAAGTATATATTTTCGCTTGGAAATATTTCGAGTTGGACAAAAAAGGTAATATTCTTCTGAAGCATAAGCTAGACACGAGTCCATACTCCAAATTTGATTTATATAGCTGCTGAAGTTCTCGAGAAATCAACAAACAAGCAACCCGTCGAGGAAACGTGGTCAAACAGCTGGCCCAGAGCCAAAAGCTCCTTGAGCTCAACTCTGGCGTGTCTGGCTGTCATGATTAAAGGGTTTAGAATTCAGAGTGTTACGCCCCTTACCACACTCCCTCACTCCCCCACTCTCCCTCTCTCTCTCATTCTATTGCTTAACGCCCCTAAGCAACGAGTTGTAATAAAAACATACCACAATTCGTATCGGTATGATTGATATAACTAAAGCAAAGGCAAAATATACAAATTTCTCTGAGCTTCGAATTTCTAAAGAACGTGGGAAACTCTAATTTGAGGACAGAATTTTTCAACAAACAGTGATATATGAGTGAATAAAACTGCAAATTCATAGAGAGCATCAATTATGTATATGGAAATTCAAGTTAAATCTTGAGAAATCGGCTTCCAGCAGTGCTTTCTACATGAATCAGACTAAAGAGTCAGATCGTAACGCTATATCATATAACTATTTATTTGAACTCAGCTGCTAGTGAATTTATTTAGATATAACTTTGTACTACTGTTGGATCTACCTTCAATATAAATGTATTGAAAATGTGTCCAATCGTAACACTATATCATCTGACTACCTATGTTAACTCAGCTCTCGGCGAAAACTTCCTGATAAAACTGGGTGCAGCTGCTTTATTTGACTCCAATTAGAACATATGATAAAATCAAGCGAATCGTAATATTATACACTCAGACTATGCAGCTGCTACTTTGGGCAGTTACCTGTTAGAGATTCAAATGATAAATATATCGAAATCAAATATAACATATCATTATTTCTGATAGTTGGCTAACGGAACTCAGCTCTTAGCTTGGTTATGAGCTTCAAATTTGGTATAGATGCTTCGCTTAGCTTGTACTAGAGTATGTGTTAAAGTCGTGCAGATCAGTCAACTATATCATATAGCTGTCATAGGAACAATATGGAAAATGTCGTTTGCTGGCCGAAGCCTGCGGCAGAAAGAGTCAACAGACTGATTTTGATCAGCAGCCAGATAAAAGCAAAAAGTATTTCTTCGGTTGCCTCAACTGCTGCTTCTGTCTCTTCTTCTGGCCTCAACTGCTGCTGCTGTCTTCGCTTCTCGCCTCATCTTGTGTGCCGCACTTGTTGCATGAAAACTGCGAAAGGAGACAGCAAAAAGCGTTTTTTTTGTTGGAGCCGCTGGTCATAAATCAAGTAAGAAAACTAAGGGTGTTGCACAGCGTGTCTTGAGAGGAGCAAGGGTTGCACATAGAGAGCAGCCAAGGGGTGGCGCGGCCGAAGGGAGCGGCGGCGGGGGCGTGACAGACCGTTATGTCAAGTGGCAGCCAAGCGAGGCAACGAACTTGAAAAAACAACCGCAAACGATGAACGCACAGCGCTGTCTGCTCCTTCACGGCTGGCCCCAAGCATAAGCATATATATCTGTCCATATCTCTTATATACGTACTATATATAAATACTAAAAATATATATAGATATATATATATATAGACAGCGCATTTCATGTATGTAACCATAGTCTGGCCCTGGCCTTAACAACAGCATCAACTGGTTTTTTTTGCATTTATGCCAGAGACAAAGCGAATTTCAATTTGTGAAATTCCTTTATAGAAGCTGAAGATGGCATCAGATTAGATATATCTGCCTTATAGCTCCACTATATCATATAATCACCTATATGAACTCTATTTCTAGCATAGTTTTACTATGAAAACTTGCCACAGCTCCCGCTTTTAGTTTCGACTATAGCATATATCAAAATTATGTGCATATCATTACCATATCATATGGCTGCCTATGTGAACTCAGCCTCCATTAAAGTTATGAATCTGAAACTTGGTACACTACTTTCTTTTAAAGGTGCTATGAACATATATTCATATGAGTTGAATCGTAACATTTAATCATATAGTAACCTATGTGAACTCAGCTTATATTGCAGCTATGAAGGTGAAACTCGGCACATCATTCTCTCTCAGACTCCGTAAGAGCATACTCCAAAATAAATTCAATTCTAACACTCCATCATATAGTTATCTATGTGAACTCAGCTTTCTTTACCGCTATTCAACTGAGACTTGATACACCACCCTCTCTCTGACTCAGGGAGAGCATATTGCGATATGAGTTCAATCATAACACTCTAACATATAGCAGCCTATGCGAACTCAGCTGTGGACAATGCTATGCAGCTCAAATTTCGTAGAGTGCTTTATCTTAATTATATATAAAACATATGTGAAAATTAAGCAGATCGCACAACTATATCATATAGGTGCATGAATCACCCGATTTTTAGTCAGTTCAAACAAATAGAAAAAACTCTTGAGCTTTAATCTCTTTTTCTTCCACGTCGCTTCTGCTTCAGTCACTTTTTGTTGAAACTGCGTTTCGGCTTAGGGAACTTTTGCTATATCCACACATTCAATAATTTCTTTTGTGTGTAGCTGAATGAGCACTTCAAGTTTCAGCTGCGTTCGCTGATATCTATCCAAAGGTCCAGCAAATTTCCTACAAAATTTTGCCAGCTGAACTGCGAATTCAATTTCCATTGTAATTCATTTAATTATTTAGCATATTTTTTGATTAAAAATGAATTTCACAAAAAAGCAAAAAAAGCACAAAGTTTTCCATTTGAAATATTGATGCGCATCAAAAGGGAAGCGAGATTTAATAAAAATGAAAAAGAAAATATGAAAGAAAAAAAACCTAATTTCAAATGATTTGTCACAGACATATATGAGTTGTGTAATCTTTAATCTTATCTTAAATTCGTTTCTTACACTAAAATCAATGCCATAAATTCGATGTGAATCGCGTCTCGAGCAGTCAGATAGCATATCTTGTTATATGGCTCTGACAGTTGCCTCAAAAGTCAATCGAGTGCTTTACACAACTGTATCTGGTTTGCTCAAGGACCGCCTCTTGGCGCTTGCTGAAGTCAGCAGCAGCGACATTTGCTTCAATGAAGCAATGTTCTCTGCTTGCCTAACTCATTGAACTCAAACACTTTCTGAGCTATAGCTGTTAAATATCAGTATATAGCTGCCATATATACCCTGTAAACTTAATTGAGAAATATGGAGAAGATTCAATCATAATTTACAAGACTTAACCTCATTGAACTCGGGAACTATAGGAGATTTAGTATTGAAACTTGGAACACTGATGGCTAAATACTCTATCAATTCAGTTTCGAAGAATTTAAAAAGATTGGGTCAAAATGGGAACAATTATCGATTAATATTTCACATAGAC